TGATCGGTTTTCTCTTCGAGTGAACTTTCCCAGCCAGTCTGAGTATCTAATCTTAAATTCTTGATAACGCCTGATTTCAATGTCCAATTGACTCGCCATGGCTTCCTTTTCTTCGTCTTTAATAAGGAATCGGCCACAATTGTCACTTGCTTCTTTAAAGTTTGCAAAACCTTTATCTAAATCCTCACGTTTCTTTATTACTTCCTTGTAATTATCATAGTTCCGCATGAGCTCATCCGTCTCTCTATACAGACGAGTTAAATAACCCCTATAGCTCGCAATAGACCTACGAAGTTTGTTCAATCTCTCGTTGAATACTCCTTCTTGATCTAGTGTTGTATTGGTTACTCATTGAGTAGCTCCACGCGTCTCCATACTGTAACTAACCGAGCTTTTTGCCAAAGTGCATCGAATATAGCCAGTTAATTCAACCGAGAGAAGATAAAGAACTATATAGCCTTAAACTGCGATCTCACTTTGATTTTGTTATCCATAATAAAGTACTCAGGTTCAAGTGTTACGATTTATATTTCTTTTAAAGAACCACGGTTCTTTATCGTGGTTATACTCGGAATTTACAAACATACTAACTAACCTATGCTTAACACAAGCTTTATACTAAAACTAAATAATTAATTAAACATGCATGCATGCACTAATTGATTTGCTATTACAGTCCATATAATGAAGAATGAGCATGTTTTCTGAACATATACTGGCTTTAAACCGGCAGTGCATTTTCACCATTTTGTCCATATAAACACGCCATGACATTTTGTCCGCCTATATAGCTGGGATCATATACTGTATACAGCCCCTAAAATGCAAAATATGCTGACCATGCATCGATTTTATTGTATAGGTAATAGTATGATTTCGAGTGCAATTTGGAAAAACTATGCACGCGAATGAATTTTCCAAAGACGCTCAAAATTGTATAAGAGTCCAAAGGATAAGCAGAAAAACCATGCATACACTATTTATTAATAATATACATGAAAAATATATGCAGAAGCAAACTTGTAGTCACTTGCAGCATGAGACACATGCGAAATAAATAATTTAGCCATTCATTTGAATGGCACAACAACTTAATACAAGTTTACAACTTTTAGAAATAAAAACTTAAATCAAAATGTCATCGTTTGGCACTGTATTTAATTTTTGTGGCAGTGGATTTCGTAAAATATCACTCCTCTTAGCCAATTAGAATCGAGTAATTTTTTCATGTATATTATTATTTTGGAAAAATTATACTTATCTAGGAATTCACTACGTATATGTTACATATTATAGCTATGTTATATATGTATTTATAGGTTATCATATATATATATATATATATATATATATATATATATATATATATATATATATATATATATATATATATATATATATATATAAATCCATCGCAAATCGTGGCTGTATGCACGGGCTTTAGGGCCGATTCAATTTGACAACAATAGCATTCTATCTAAATAGCAGTTAAAATAAAGTGTACGGCACCTGGACCATTCAATATCTGGCTTGATAGTGCTTCTAAATCCATAAAACATTTACACGCAAATACTGTATATTTTGAAAATCCGTCATGTTTGTTTACATTAGTGTTAGAATCCAAGCTTTCGCGGTTCACACGATATATTACGTCGGTGATTTTCACCAATAATAAATAAGAGATCATCCAATTATTTCATCTATATGGCACAAACGTGTCCCCAACTTCCTTATATGGCACAAACGTGTCCCCAAAATATTTTATCGAGGCCGTTATGTCATAAGATTCCTGACGCTCGGAACAGGTCAGGTGGTACAGAACCCAGACAGCTGATTGGGTCAGCGAGTGACAACGCCCACTTTGATCCTATGTCGGTGATTTTCAATAATAATAATAGGGTAATATATTGTGTGAACCGCGAAAGCTTGGGTTCTAATGTAAATAAATATGCACAAGGATTATGACAAATTATTAAATCTTTCTAACTAAATACGGCAAACACTATGTGTTCCCATTGCCCTTTTCGCGCTTAGAGTTTTATTTTTTATTTTTTTAAGGTTTTAGCTGTATATATACATATATATATTTATTTATATATTTATATATTTATGTATGTGTGTGTATATTTGCTTCATATGGCAGACGTTGTCAATGCTTAAAAAACCACAAATACTCTTTATAATAAATTCACTGCTACGTCAATTCATCTTCGTCTGGTCCAAACTTGAACACCTCTGCAGCTTTCTTTCTGTTGAAAAGGATCATAAGAAAACATAAAAATGGGTCAATTTCCAAATCAACCTAATTGTAACTATAATCCTAATCTCAATCCTAAGTGCCAACCCTAACCCTCTTATCTAAATTCTCCTAATTTTAACCCGTTAATCCAAAACCCGGCCTAATCGTTTTGACATTATTTTGAGAATATGGTAAGTCACCGATGACAATGATTATCTTGTAAACATCCGCTTGTTGGCTCATTGACCTAGGGCGAAATTTTGAGTGCGAAGTGAGTGCTGCAGAAGCTATAGCAAGTATCTAACCAAATACATGAGGATGCAAAAATAATCCTTGACAAAAACCCGAAGCCCGTCCAACATATTCCACAACCGAGACATTACCCATTTTCCTTGCCGCTGTTGACCATTTCATCCCCAAAACAAAGCTCAAGCGTTCTTTTACACCACCATACATCACCAAGGACTTACTTCACGCCATTAAGATGAAAGAGTCTCTAAGAAGAAAGGCAAAGGCTAAGAACTCGCCTGAACTTTGGAAGAAATTCCGCAAAACTCGGCAACACGTCAAGTGTTGGATAAATTCCAAGAAGAGAGAATATCTCTCTGGACTGTCCGAACATGTGTATAATAACCCTAAATCATTCTGGAGATTCTTTAAATGTAAATCCTCGAAATCATCGATCCCAACTTTTTTCTGCAAAGGAAAAAGCGGATGGCTTTAACCAATTTTTTACGTTAGTCTTCACCTCCGACACAAGTTCTTCACCTCTTTTCACTCCCTCTAGTTCAGCTTCTAACTCTCTTGACTCGTTAAATGTATCTGAATCTGATGTTCAGTCTTTGTTGTCCAATTTGTCACCCTCTAAGGCTACTGTTCCTGATGGTATTCCAGCTTACCTTCTAAAGCGATGTTCTGAGGTAATTGCCCCTTCTTTGACTGCTCTCTTTGAGTTATCTCTTTAGCAGGGTGTTTTTCCTTCTGAACGGAAAGCCGCTAATGTCGTGCCTATACTCAAAAAGGGTGACACTCATGAGGTCACTAACTACAGACCAGTTTCCTTACTCTCTCAAGTCTCAAAAGTTCTCGAACGTTTAATTTTCAGCCAGGTTTCTTCTTTTGTTGAAAACTCCTTGTACGACCTTCAACATGGCTTTCGCTGTAAAAGGTCGTGTGTTACTCAACTTTTGAGTGTACTTCACGACCTTGGTCGTACACTTGACTCTGGAAAGGAAACAGACCTGATTTATCTCGACTTTGCTAAAGCGTTTGACTCGGTGTCCCATAGCAAACTTTTGTTCAAACTTAAATCGTTTGGAATCTCAGGTCCACTTCTTAACTGGTTTGCTGATTACCTTCGTGATCGCAAACAGTGTGTTGTCAGTGAAGGAGCTTCCTCATCTTTTCTTAATATTACCTCTGGGGTGCCACAAGGTAGTGTAATAGGTCCTCTTTTATTTATTCTTTATGTAAATGATCTTCCAGAGGTAACAAATAATAGTACCGTTGCACTTTTTGCTGATGACAGCAAGTGTTATCGTGCTATACGATCACCAGTTGATCGTGGTCTCCTTCAGCTTGACCTGGACGCTATGTCCAACTGGTCACTTAACTGGAAAATGAAATTTAATGTCTCCAAGACGCTCCTACTTAGGATATCCCGCAAACGTAACCCTCCAACTCATTGCTACTTTCTTAACAATGATCCAGTTAAGAGCATAGCTAACCAAGTAGACTTGGGTGTTGTTATCAGCAATGACCTAAAGTGGTCCCCTCACACCGCTTTTGCAAAAGCCAATCGTATGCTTGGTTTTCTTCGTAGGAATTGTACGCAAATGTCTGATATTCGCTGCCGTAGGCTTCTTTATCTTGCTCTCGTCCGATCTCATGTGTCATATGGTAGTGAGATCTGGGCACCTCAACGATCGTCACGTGATCTTGCGATCATCGAGGGTGATGAAAGACGAGCTAGTAAATTTATCCTTCAGGATTATGAGTTGCCTTATCCTGAACGCCTTAAGAAACTTAATCTATTACCAATATCCTACTGGCTGGAACTAAAGGATCTCGTCTTCTTTTCTAAATGTAAGCACGGTGTCTTCGACCTAGATATCTCCTCTTTCGTCACTTTTTCTTCAAACAGCTCGTCTCACACCCGTTCAAGTTCGGACAACTTGCTTCATGTTAATCATTGCAGGACTTCTCTCTTTAGGAACTCTTTTTTCAACCGAATTGTCTTTCTCTGGAATAGATCTCTCTCCCACCATTCGTAATAGTTCACCGTTTCCTCCTTTAAAAACAGGCTAACTGTTGATTACTCTTCTCTCCTTTCATTGCGGCATCGAGGGCTCAGGATCGCCAATTTAGCTAGAACATGCTCACGACGATTATTAGGACCAATTCTACACAATGTCAATCAGAACGACTTTCGTGTTTAACTACGTTACAAATCTTAGACGCTGTAATTGTGGGACGTATTTTATTATATTCATTGCGCATGCGCTTGAACTTTTCTGTGTTTTTCGATATACCTCTGAGCAAAATATCAAAGAAAAACATCTACAATCACTACACAAGAACAGACAGACTTACATCTACCCGGTAAGAGCAAAAATAAAGAAAGAAAACCAAAGACCAAAATACCAAGCTTTATATGTAATAGCCTTGAACAAGAACTTAAAAACGCTAGTTTTTTATCAAACTTGCATATTACATATTACTTGTACTGAACAGACGTGCTGTACACTTTTAGAACTCTCTAGCTTTATCCTCCGATTTCAACTCTTTTTTTTCTTCACCTTTCACTGCCTTCACCTCCTGATTCCTTCGGATTCTCGTAATTTCGCATACCTCCTGACTCTTCTAGATCTCTAATCTTACTACTGTATATCCAATTCACTTTAGATAACTCGCATGCCTAGTTACTATTGTTGTAGTTTACAGAAGCATAGAATAGAACAAAAGTAACTATATATAAGCATCAGAATTATGTATCAGAGTTATTCACCAATGTAGATAATTCTAAAGCTTTGTTCTATCCTATGCTTCTGTATATTAGAACAATGATAATTATATAAGTATGTTAGTTATCTAAAGTTGTGAATTGGGTATAAACAAACATTAGCCAAATTTGTCTGTTCTTATATTATATATAATATTATGTATGATTATTTTTTTGAAATCATGGTTTCCGATTGGCTAGCAGCCAACTGCGAAATCGTCATATCATTGTTATGACGTCATGCTTAGGAAATATGAATACGAAATGTTGAAATGAGACCAAAACAATATGGCGCCGCCTTCGGTCGTGGGAAGCAAATTTAAAAATATAAAGAATAAACAAATATTATCGAAATCAGTCACGAAAGGTTGTGAAACATTTTAACGTATTTATAAAGGAAAAAAGGAAAGATTTTCTGCAAAATAGCAAAAGGAACTGATCACTATTTCGACGAATTGAACCAGGGGTTGAAACTTTAAATTTTTTTGTCGGCCAAATGGCTATACAAGTGAATAAGACGAGGTTGCCAAAATAAATATCAGATTGCCCTATAGCTATGTCAATGTGTTATGAAGTATTCTTTTTGGATATAGATAACAAACAATTGTTTACTATGTTGGTAACATTTGTGTAAAAAGAAAATGAAACTCTTCATCACTGAAATAATTAAATGGGCGGTATCCTGGTTAAATATAAAGATAATAATAACAATACCTTAATAGTAATCGTTCACATTTCGGACATTTTCCTTTCGCGAAGCATTCACGATGATAGCATGAACCACAATCTAGAAAAACAGACATGCGTATATGTATATATAGCCTTTAAATGATAAGTGCCACACCATACGATATTACGGGTTCAAATTCCCGGGGACGGCCATTTTATGGATCAAGCAGATCAATAGATCTGGAAAAGATATTTTGTAATCCGTCCTATATATAAACGATTCTCCGAGAATTCTTGCTTCTTTTATCTGATACTCATTGCAAATGTACCAAACAAGATATTTTTACAGCTATTTGTTGATTTTCGCATGGGTTAATATAAAGACGATGACAAAAGCCGCGAAAGCATGGTGTGACACTGATCTTGTAACAATATGGTTGAGCGATTGTCTTGTGGTCTGTGCCAGTGTATATTAATATAGGGTAGTCACAGTGTATATTAATATAGGGTAACTTGTCTCCTTCGGCGACAAGTTAGGGTTTTCGCTCGAAACGTTGTCGTTGACGTTTTACTTGTATTTTGCAGGTATTTGAATATTAAACTAGGCTATTTGAGATCAGTTCACAAAGCCAATTTGAGCAAGAGCAAGTCTACAATGCTAGAGCAAGAGCAAGTCTACAATGTCTACAAGGTCTGTGCCAGTGTATATTAATATAGGGTGGTGCCAATAATATGGAGGGGATGCAACTACCTGAAAAATACAGGGAGAACTTCGACGTTTCGAGCGAAGACCCTCGCCGGGAAGTTAGTACCGGGGGTAGGGAAAATTACATAAGCTTTTACTGACCTCAAAAGCCTTCTGTAAAATGTTTATCACTTAGTTTTTATAAAATAATATGTACAATAATTATAACATCATCATATAAATAGAGAATAATACATGGGTGCGCGGAAATACCAGATTTATTTCGAATGTTAAACATGATACCTCACGAGTGAGCGCAGCGAACGAGTGAGATATCATGTTCAACACGAGAAATAAATCTGGTGTTTTCAAGCACCCATGTATTTTTCTGCTTACTATATAAACAAAATTCAGTGAAAAACAATAAAACGTCCGTGGCAATGCGTTTTACAACAAATGATATTTTCACACGTAAAAATATCGTATCTTTTACGTGTGTTTAAATACGATTTTTCTCAGTGGCCAAAAACTCTATATAACACTTATGTTTATATAATAATAGAACTTAAGGACCAGAGAGCTGGGAAGCGAGAGTTTGCATGAGAGTTTTCTCTCAAACGGGAACAACAGTTGCGTGACTGCCATATTACCGGTCAAACGAACAAAAACTCTCAAAGTTGACGAGAGTGCACGAGAGCCAATAACAGTTGGAGGTGAAATGCGAGCAAAAGTTGGAACTAGGGCTTTAAACAAGCCATTCCCATTGTTCAAAGAATGTAATGAACAGTACCTGGACATTGGCTACATCTTTTCACTTCAAATGGATAAATTATATCGTCACCATTTTTACAGTACTCGCAAACAAATCCTTTGGCCAGGCACAGCTGCCAAAAATAGAAATACAACATAAGAGATTTTCAAATGCACTTACATAGTTATATTATTTTTTCCCTATTTTTTCACTTCTGCGTAAACAAAATTACTAAAATTTATAAATATTTTTTACTTTTAAATTAAAAGGATATTCTTTGAAATCCCATCTTTGAATAATACGAGCAGGAATGACTGTCGGTTTTGAAGAATGACAAGTGTTGCAGAAATACTTTCCCAAATAGTTACAGTAGCGGAATCTCTTCATGTAGCCTACATGATCGAAAAAACAAAACAATTCTAATCTTTATCTTCACACATGCATTGGGAGTATAATAGGTACATGGTTATATTATTTTATGTTTAATGTTTAATGTAATTTGTCGCCACAGTAAGTAGCAAACAGGAGACACAACCAGGACAAAAGTCCCAATTGATATCTACCTCCCATTTAAAATTTTACAGAAAAAATGTTACAGTTGTTATCTAAATCAAATACTGTACAAAAATGTTATAGTACAACACCTAATTAGTTTTATGTGGGAGTATATATTCGACTTCTAGTTTTTGTCTGTAAAAATAGCTTACAAATAGCTTGTAGCATACTTCTGAAGAGTAAGAGGCTGCATGGTTTCATGCCCGCGACCTTCGAATTACTATAGATCGATGCTCTACCAACTGAGGTACACGTTCTCATTATTTCTAAATTTTGGGCAACTGGACACTGTAGAGCTTGTAGTCACCCAAATTACGGGATATATGTTCTCTGGCGAAGGTCAAATAGTTTCTTTTAAGATCGAGGTAGATAGCTGTAGTCGTGGCATTTTAGTCTCTATAGCTCGAACATTCCTTCTACCAGAAATATTTTTATATAGTTTACCTGGATCAATACGCATACCGCACCCAGCACAGCGATATCCCTGCTTTGTCATCGTTTCTTTTCGTCTAGAAAAATAAAGTGTGGTCACAAAAACTTTTTCGTCCTTGGGTGGATAGATGTTCGTTTTCGTACTTACAGAACCAAACAGATATACTGTAAATGCCGAGATGAACACAAGCTTACTTTGGATTTGATGGAATGCTAAAAATAATCTGCTGTCTTGGAGGAGCCCATTCGAGATTTCCTCTTAGGCGACACTTAAAAAGAACAAAAAAGACACACATTTAACAAAAGACTTTCCGTCTTAATAATTTATCAAATTTCACAGAAGACAAGTTTCTGTTTCTTACATTCACATATGAAAGCTTCACATGTGAAATCCATTTCACATGTGAAGTGTTCCAATTCCACACGTTGATTTCACATGTAAAATCGATTTCACGTTTGAAAATGTGGATTTCACCATGGCCGGATCTGGCCTCATTTGTTAGAGGGGGAGGAGGTTTTCCAGAGGGAGAGCATTACTATGGAATCGAGGGTCATTGTCTCGCAGAAAATGTTTGAAATTGGAAGTCCTTGAAATGCCATTTCCTACACGCTGAGCACTACGTATTACTCAGAGCACTACGTATTACTCAGAGTACTCGTATTTCATGTGAAAATTAAGAAAAGCTACGTTATATGGTGACCCGCTATATAGTGCTACGTTTTTTAGTGCTTGAATATTTTCTCGCGTATTCGAAAATCAATCAATCGTTTCAATATAATAAGTAGTATTCACAACTCAAATATGGAATACCACCTTCAAGGGGGTGCTAGATACCATTAGGGGGGGCGCATCTCCTTGTACCCCCTGGATTTCACATGTGAAATTTCCGTAAGGGGGCTACCTACTCTGGACCGACCGTGCAAGATTGCACACCATAAACATCCATTACTTACAGGTAAAGATGTTCTTCTATCAAAGTGTTCAGTTGTGTCATACAACTCATCATCAGGTGACACAGGAATAGCAGTAGGTAAAGGTAATAAACTATGTGGTACATCATGTTCGGATACCATCCATTTTAAATCTGCTGAAGTTAAGTTTTTCCGTGAAGCAACTTTCTCCAGTAAACACAGCGCAACTTGTTCTGCTGAGATAGGCGAGCCACTTGTCTCGAGAGAGGAAGTATCTAATGATGTACCAGATGGAATCAAATCATGTCTCTCGACACGTTTCTGTGATTTACTACTTTCAGGACTGGGTAGTTCATTACTTGAATTGTAGTCACTGTCAACTGATTTCGGCGGTTCCCCTATATGATATAAGAAAACCAAAACAGTTTCACAGCAGAACCAAACATACCTGTTTTCCAATTTTCCGTTAAGTAAACCGCCAAGGTCATCAGTAAGAATCCGTGTCACCGCTTACTGCAGCGTGTGTCACATTAGGTGTATATGAAATGAGATGGTCACCACGCGAAACACGCGTGTTGTACTGGCTTCGGTGGTAATTTTGTATCGAGCATTGATTGCCTCTTTTTTTAGCTTTTCGGCTTCAAATGAAAATGGTTAACATCTTGAAATTCTGAAATCCATTCATCTAAACTTTCGGATGATAGGTCCCGCATAGTGACATACATGCATATAACTTGAAATGATGTTCGTCCGAGGCGTTGAAATTTTCTGGCATCCTTTTCATTGCCTTTTTATAACGTGAATTAGATCTTCTTTTACCTCTTCATTATCACCCAAAATCGTGAAAGTCGACAATCATTATATGATTTTTTTACTGCCACGTAGTTCGCGACATGGTGAATATCTCATTTCGTAGTCAGTGGATGTGACGGACACTGAAAGTGGCCACACTGATTGTTACTGGTGACTCTGGCGGTGTACGCAACCGGAAATTGCTACGCCGACCACAGCTCCGCGAGTGGGGTCTTTCAAGGCGTACGTCTCTGCAAACAAAGGTCAAAGCCAAAAACCAATTTTTAAAATTTCTCATCCAATTTTCATCAAAATTGAACCAATGTTTATTCGATTTGTCCTTGGGCTTGGCCTACGATCATTAGCTGCACAAATTTTCGTACTAAACCATCTGACAGTTTCTGACAGACAAACACGCGCACAAACCTCCTGGCAGAGGTAGCTGCATGTACAATACTGTAGTTCTATTACCAAAACCGCGGATGCTTCCTCTTGTCCAAAAAAACGTGTCTTGTTTTCCTGTGGAAACATTGTCGAATTTAACGACATTAGGAATGAAGTCGCATTCTTGAATATTTTGGCACGAAAACATGACACGTTTTCTTGAGCGAGAGGAAGTATGGGCGGTTTTGGTAATAACATGATAAGAAAAACAACAACAAAATGAACGTACTTGACGAGAAGCTTGATCGAGGTGAACCAGACGAGAGGCTAGTGCCGGTACTCTTGGTCGAGGAAGACATTGCATCAGGGAAGACTCCTTCTTGTTTCTTCGAACGCCTTTTCCTCGCCATTTTTCTCTTGATTTTAGCGCGAAGCTGCAAAATCTCTTCATCACTTTCATCATCATCATCCTCGTCCAAATCTGAATCGTAAGCATTCTCACATTTCATCTAAACAAATAATATGTGTTCCATGTTTAGGTGCGTTTCACTAGTATATAAAGCACCATCATGCAGCAGATATAGTAAAGTAGTAAATCGGGAGTTATCAGAATCCATCGCGTAAAATTCGCGCTCATATTAGGGAATATCATGCACACAGATGAAACTGAAAAGCCTGAAAAAGTCCTCATAAAAAGTACCACTCAAAAACTAAACCGTATCTGAAACAAAAACATGGATTATCTGAAATTGTTAAAGAACCGTCGGATCCTGTTTGTAATCAATCAGCACCTCTCTACTTGCGAACAGTTTCAACATATTAAAGCCTTTTCAGAACTATACCCCGATGATGACGCAAAGTCTAATCAAACCAGTATAATAGCTGAACATGTTTTCCACAATACTAAGGTAATTGATACTGTAAATCTAAGCGTTGGTCCCTTTTCCTGTATCAAGAATCACTCAAAGATATAAACCTGAATTTAATCATGGAATTAAAGATTCTAAAGAACTGACCATACTTAACTAATTCATTAATAATTATAACTAATACCATGGCATTCAGGGCGATTAGTGATTAAATGTACCCGAAAGCCGAGAGGTTTAGTAAAAAAGCCCCGGGGCGTACAGCGCCGAGGGACTTTTACTAAACTTCTCCAGATTTGGGGGACATTTCATCACTAATCGACTGTATGCCATGCTATCACTTTGTAATATCATAGCTACCGAGACAATAAAACGGTTTCATTCGATTAAATAAGTTGAAATGAAAAGGCGCGTTTGCGTTTTGATACTAATGACTATTGGGATGTTCGTTAATGGGGTTATACGGTTGATCTTTTACGTCTGTTAAATATTTAATTGAACATCAATATAAGAGGTTATATGCATAAAAATGAGGGACGATTAGTACCTAATAGTCCCGTAGGATGATTAGTTTTTAATCGTCCCGCATGTTTTAGCAGTGAGGAAAATTAGTCATTAATCGTCCCTCGCGAAACAAAGGATTTCGAGGTAGCTATGATATTATCAACCTAATGTATCGTATTTCTTCATATAAATACTGCTTTTGATGTATAACCTAGTTAGTTGATCCTAATGATGACTGAAATATAGTCGAAACGTTGATAAATATAAAAATGTTATCGATCTTTGGAGTTACACTTGTTATTAATACTAGATTCCCCTTGTTATGTTTTCTTAGCGCTTTGCATTGTGGTTATAGTGGTATCACTGATATACAAGATGGCTTTTTTTTGTCCTCACCCGTGCAAGAACTTTTAAAGAAAGCTAGGGTCAGGTGCGCCATAGCCAACAGCAAAATATTCGCGAAAACATTCAATATTTTCATTCGAGGTCGCTATCTTTATCAGTGACACCACTATAACCACAATGCAAAGCGCTACGAAAACGTAATAAGGGGAATCATACTGACACAAACAGGCTTCGAAAACAAGGACACCATTCGACAATGCCGACCACAATCCAGTTCTTCTCAGTAGAACTAGCTATCTTTTTTTCAGCTGCCGACAGCAGTTCAAAAACCATCGTGTTCGTTCGTTATTCATTTATTTACAAGGTCTTACAACAATTTGTAATTATTCCCCAATACAGCCAAGGAAACTGCGAAGCTTGACAATTCGATTAGGGAATTACACGGTTCGAGATATATTCAATATGAAAAATCGCACGCGTGTTTGGCGAAATATTTATAATACGTACACGAGTGCGTAGCAAGAGCGGCATTATAAATATTTTGCCAAACAGAAGTGTGATTTTTCCTTAATACTTTGAGAACAAGTGTAATTTCTTGTTACATGTAATATTATTTTATAGTCAACCTAGTGAGCAATCAATGACAAGAAACATTGCATTACTGTATTCAAGCGAGCACAGCCAAACGCGCTTTTGATCAATTTTTAGAGTAATTTTCTAACATTTTCAATTCATACCTGTAAAAACTGTGAATAATTTTTGGTTCATCTTTCTCTTCTGTTCAAGAGCTCATTCGAAAATTACAACTCAGAAAATATAAATTTTCACGTTGTTTATTAAGATTTTGCGTTTAAATTTCTGCACTCATGTGAGCGTGCGAAATGCACGCGGGCTCGTATTTGTGCCGATTAAGCTTTGAACGGCACGATTTTTAACCAATTAGAATCGAGTTAATTGACTAAAATTATACTATAACGGAAATCAGCCGCAGGAATATTAATAATACTGTCGTGGAAAACACGAAATTTGGATTGTGTTACTGATGTCTGCTGTTGCTTTGAAATTACAATGCTGGAGATAGTATCTGATCTAAAAAATGCTGAGAGGTGCCGACCTAGGTCAGATTTAGGCCGACATTGTTTTGCCGACCTCAATTATGACTTTGTTTCGAGGACTGCATAAAAAAGTTAAGAATTAACTATCTTGCCTCACTCTCATAACTGCTAATTAACAATGCAAGGTTACAGTAAAACCAAGATACACTTACGATATATGCTAAAAAATAACGTGGTTAATCCATAACATTATTTTCTAATAGCAATTTTACCTGTTCAATAGCACAAATAAGAGCCTCAGAGATGCTGAAGTGTGCATTTTCCTAAATAAAATAGATATTAAATTGGCAATACATGAATATACGATGTAAATTAGAGCTTACCGTTTATGAAAAGTGAAAATTGCAGAAGCGACACATGACATGTGCAGGTCACGTACACTAGTACAGTTCTACTGTATAAAAAGTTGCACGGAGGAACAAAAGGTCAACCATTGTTTATACCTCAATAAAAATGACGCACAAAACGTGGATGTAGCGTCGTATATGACTGATAGCCAACTCGTGCTATACGCACCTCGTCGACTATCAGCTCTTATTATACAAATATAAACTATAGATATTACCGGATATAAGCTATTCTGCAATCTGATTGGTTCGCTACTAGCAGGACTATAATAGCTCATATACTGCCAGTAGAGAAAACAACATGGCGGCTCGAAAATTGCTGGAGTTTTCCGAACAACGAAACAGCAAAGTTATTCGCTTTTAATAGCATTAAGAGGAATAAAAAGAGAATGAAGATACTCCAAGTAATTGTTTTTGCGGGTTAGCAAAAGGATTCTTAATATTTAAACTGGTTAAAAAATGTATTTAAAAAAGTATAATGCCGAAAGGACGAAGTGGAAGATAAAAACATGAACAGCTGAATATAATTTTTTAGAAGTAATTAAACAACTGAAAACATGTCAATTTATAAATTTGAAATCAACAAGTACGTGTTTTGTCTAAAAAGCCTTACATGTATATTTAGATATTTCAAGTTTTCAGCAATGTTTGAAGTATTGTTTGAGGAAGGCAGCAGTGGCTTGTCAGCTTTAGGGCAAGGTGTGTGGATTGCTACACGAATAGCTATTAAATATTATTTTCTGAAAGACTTAAATTTGTTCCAAAATACTGTATATATACTTTAGCATACAAATCGTCAACGTAACTAAATTTAGTATTATAGTATTACCATCGGACTGATCGGAGTATTAACAGACAGTAGTATTAACTTACTCGATCAAATGCCTGACATGAGTCGTTGAGCCTTGACGACAGGAAACCAAGAACAGGATTTTGACTTGTACGAGATGAAAATGGAGATCCCATAGTACCACCGTAAAATTCTGAATTAAACATGCAAAATTAATTTAGTTCACGCAAGATTAGTAATAAATTTGATATTTTTAATAATATTTTCAGGGGTGGAAAAATAGTTTACTTTCTCGGACTGCAAACAAACATTGAAAGTGTTCTGCAAATAATCATGTAAAAAAATCGAGAATCGAAAATAATATTCGTAACTGTGTGACGCTAACACGTTGTCAAGCTGGATGTCGTGCTGGATGTCAACAGAAAAACATTAATTATTTCACTGCACTGAGAATCTTAATAGTTATAATACTCTTAGGAATATAACACAAAAATAATTTAGATAACATGCATTAAGGGTTTGAAAATCAAGTGTCCCAGATTAGCTAAAAATGCATTTGCCATACAACATTTGTTAATCATTCTATAGTCTACATTCATACACTACCGCACCATTAAGATGGATGCATTTATAATTGCATTTCTGTGCTCATACTTATACTGTACAATACAAATAAGGGACTGGTCATAAAGTAACTGCTATAGGGTGGGCTGGAGGCAAATCACAAATTTTGCCAATAAGTTCGGTGACCCATCTTATAGGATGTAGAATCAAAGCCCATCTAATCTTACAAAAGTTGTATTTGTACAGTTAGTTGTATTTGCTGTGATTCGCCCACTTCTTGTTGTTGTATAAACAAAGTACTGGCTTCAACAGCATCATTTGCATTTGATAATTTGGATAGTTTTGTTTACTTTTATTACTATCTTTATTTTTTGAGGTAGACATGGGTTTTTGTTTGGTGGTCCAACCGTGGACATATACAAAAAAATTGGCGGCCTATCAAAACTGACCAAAGATTTTCCATGGGCCATCCCAAATCACTCCAGCCCTCCCTAAGTAAACATTCTTTCCACTGGTTAGAATTTTTCCTCTTAATTCTACCTTTATTCTAAATTATTACAGTTATCTTTTTCCGGACTTAAGGCCCGTTTACACTTGCAATTTTTCATTTTTTTCTGCGATTTTTCCAGCGATTTTTCCTGCGATTTTCTCTTTCTAATGCATGTGAACGAGTAGATGAGTTATGAATGTTTGTAGTACATGTATTCCCTCATCTGAATATTCATAACTTATCCACTCGTTCATATCCATCAGAAGAAGAAAATCGCCCTAAAATTAATGGCAGCAACAATTGCAAGTGTAAACGATCCTTTAGAGAAATATTTGTGCCCCTGATTATTTTGAACATTTCTAATATTTTGACGATATTGATTCCTTGCTTGGCCTCCTGTTAAGAAGTCTGTCAGATTCAGAGTGGGCATTCCGTAGTAATGTTTTCTTATCATTCTCCTCATAAGGTTGCCTAGGCAATTCTCCTTCAAACCACCGTACTTCGTTTTGGACATCTACCGGTTCAGTGGCCGCCGTGAACGCTGCAGTAGCCAATATTGTTTCATTAAATTTGGATTTATTCTTCTGTGTAAGATTAAGTCGTGTTGATTTAGGCACGAAGATCTCGTCTCGACCGTCGTTTAGTGAGGGGAGGTCAGAATCTTCCGTTATAGTACGTCGGTCTTTCGGCAAACCTTGTAACGAGGAAGCGTCAGAGGCCGTGCTTGGCACGCGACCTGACCGCACGTCAGGTGTTGTTTCATTTTCACTCACGGAGTCAGACGAAGAGTCGTCATCAATTGATGAACAACCATCACACAGTTTCTTGCGAAAGACGGCCAAATATCTTTCTTTATTTAACTAGGATGACATTAACAAATTTATATTATTATATAAACACCGCACAAAAAGAAAGTTCTCCACCATCCCCTCCCCGCCCCTAAATTTTCTCAGCGTAAGTTTTAAACCAAAGATAATCACACCTAGCACTAATTGGACATATGGTCGTTTGATAAATACTCTGTGAAGAATGGGGTCAGTCATGTCAGGAACCTTGTCCTCACCGCCAGGAACATTGTCGTCAGCGCCAGTAACCTTATCCTCACCGTCGGTAACCTTGTCCTCACCGCCAGGAACCTTGTCGTCACCGCCAGTTACCTTGCCCTCACCACCAGTAACGTTGTCCACACCGCCAGTAACCTTATCCTCACCGCCAGGAACCTTGTCCTCAGCGCCGGGCACCTTGGGCTCGGCGCTAGGAACCTTGTCCTCACCGCCAGTAACCTTATCCTAACCGCCAGGAACCTGGTCCACACCGCCAGAAACCTTGTCCTCACCTCCAAGAACCTTGTCCTCACCGCCAGGAACCTTGTCCTCACCGCCAGTAACATTATCCTCATCGTCGGTAACCTTGTCCTCACCGCCAGGAACGTGTCCTCAACCGCCAGTAACCTTATCCTCACAGCCAGGAACCTTGTCCTCAGCGCCGGACACCTTGGGCTCGGCGCTAGGAACCTTGTCCTCACCGCCAGTAACCTTATCCTAACCGCCAAGAACCTGGTCCACACCGCCAGGAACCTTGTCCTCACCCCCAGGAACCTTGTCCTCACCGCCAGGAACCTTGTCCTCACCGCCAGTAACCTTATCCTCACCGTCGGTAACCTTGTCCTCACCGCCAGGAACCTTGTCGTCACCGCCAGTTACCTTGCCCTCATCACCAGTAACGTTGTCCTCACCGCCAGTAACCTTATCCTCACCGCCAGGTACCTTGCCCTCAGCGCCGGGCACCTTGGGCTCGGCGCTAGGAAACTTGTCCTCACCGCCAGCAACCTTATCCTAACCGCCAGGAACCTGGTCCACACCGCCAGAAACCTTGTCCTCACCCCAGGTACCTTGTCCTCACCGCCAGGAACCTTGTCCTCACCGCCAGTAACCTTGTGGTCACCGCCAGGAACCTTGTCCTCACCGTCAGTAACCTTATCCTCACCGTCGGTAACTTTGTCCTCACCGCCAGGAACGTGTCCTCACCGCCAGTAACCTTATCCTCACCGGCAGGAACCTTGTCCTCAGCGCCGGACACCTTGGGCTCGGCGCTAGGAACCTTGTCCTCACCGCCAGTAACCTTATCCTAACCGCCAGGAACCTGGTCCACACCGCCAGGAACCTTGTCCTCACCCCCAGGAACCTTGTCCTCACCGCCAGGAACCTTGTCCTCACCGCCAGTAACCTTATCCTCACCGTCGGTAACCTTGTCCTCACCGCCAGCAACGTTGTCCTCACCGCCATGAACCTTGTCGTCACCGCCAGTTACCTTGCCCTCACCACCAGTAACCTTGTCCACTCCGCCAGTAACCTTATCCTCACCGCCAGGAACCTTGTCCTGACCGCATGGAACCTTGTCCTCACCGCCAGAATCCTTGTCCTCACCACCAGGGACCTATTCCTGACCTCCAGGAACCTTGTCCTCAGTGCCAGGCACCTTGTCCGCGGCGCAAGTAACCTTGTCCTCACCGCCAGGATCCTTGTCCTCACCGCCAGTAACCTTATCCTCACGGCCGGTAACCATGTTCTCACTGCCAGGAACCTTGTGTTCGCCGCCAGGAACCTTGTTCTCACCGGCAGTAACCTTGCCCTCACCGCCAGGAACCTTGTCCTCACCGCCAGGAACCTTGTCCTCACCGCCAAGAACCTTGTCCTCACCGCCATAAACCTTGTCCTCGCCACCAGGGACCTATTCCTCACCTCCAGGAACCTGGTCCTCAGCGCCAGGCGCTTTGTCGTCGGCGCTAGGAACCTTGTCCTCACCGCCAGTACCCTTGTTCTCACCGCCAGGAACCTTGTCCTCACCGCCAGGAACCTTATCCGCACCGATAGGAACCTTGTCCTCACCGCCGGTGACCTTTTCCTCACCTCCAGAGACCTATTCCTCACTTCCAGGAATCTTGTCTTGAGCGCCAGGCACCTTGTCCTCGGCGCTAGGAACATAGTCCTTACCGCCAGTAACCTTGTCCTCACCGCCAGGAACCTTGTCCTCACCGCCAGGAACCTTGTCCTCACCGGCAGCAACCTTGTCCTCACCGCCAGTAACATTGTCCTCACCGCCAGGAACCTTGTCCTCACCGCCAGTAACCTAATAATAATAATAATAATAATAATAATAATAATAATAATAAAAGTAATAATAATAATAATAATAATAATAATAATAATAATAATAATAATAATAATAATAATAATAATAATAATAATAATAATAATAATAATAATAATAATAATAATAATAATAGTGATAATAATAATAATAATAATAATGGTTTATTACATCTTTTCCACAGCGTGGCTCTACATCTGCAAAATTTTACATAAAAATATATTATACTAATTGAAATTCTCTAGGAAAATTTAAAACTAAGGATAAAATTTTAGCTATGTAAAATATTTGTCTGTAGCGTTACACATTAAAAAGTCTTTGCACTGCCGTGAGAAATGTCCGAAATGTTCGAAATTCCTGAGTTGAGCAGGTAGAGTATTGAACAATTGCCAGGTTGTATCTTGAAATGTTCCACTTCTAGCGGTACTTGAAGTTTCTTTGCTGCGCTTGAGCGAAGTACTCGCTCACGTGATTGAATTTTCAGCGAAAGATATGCTTGCCATGGGGATTGATGTAATGCTTTGTGTGGCATTTTTAGCATGTGCCAGTCGCGTCTCCCCTTAATAGGGAGCCAACCAATACAATACAATACAATACAATAAAAATTTATTTATCCACGGTGGAATCTTCAGTATATAAATATATACAAGTTTAAGCATGCAAAAATAAATAAAAGAATATGATCTACTGGTTTACAAGATTGCCGTGTGGGAGTTCATCTAAACTATTATAATACTTGTTTACAGCTTTCCGGAACTGAGCAAACGATTGGAGCATTCTTATATTTTCGGGAAGGCAATTCCAGAGCACTGCTCCACTGTACTGAAAGCTTCGCTTCAGATAATTGTTCGTGGTTTGGGTAAATTTAATTTCATTTCAAAGTTCCTAAGATTATATTCTGAGCCACGAACTGAAAAAAGATTTTGTAGATAGGTAGGTGTGTCACCTTTGAGTGTTTTGAACATCAAGCCAGCTTTAAGTTTTTTGCGTCTCAACGATAAGTTATCCAAGTGTAAAGTATCAAGAAGCACAGTAGCATTAGTGTCATAGCTGGACCTCGTAATGACCCTGACCGCCCGGTTCTGTAATTTTTGTAGTTTAGAACTTAGCGTTTCGCCAAGACCATCCCAGACCGAGGAGCAGTAGTCAAAATGAGGTTGAATCAGTGCTTGGTATACTTGGATAGCCGTGTTCGTTGAACTGCAGGATCTTATACGTTTTAAAGCCCCTATGGCTGAAGCACTTTTTTTACATAGTTTGTCAGTATGCTCAGACCACATAAGGTGATTATCAAGATGGACACCCAGAGATTTTACCGAAGTAACTTGGTTGACCTTATTACCGTTTATCTGAATATCTATTTCATTACTTAGTGTTTTTATTCTTCGTCTAGATCCAACTACCATGAATTCTGTTTTTACAATATTTAAGCTTAGTTTATTAGTGGTTAGCCAATCGCTTAGACCTTTCAATTCGGTGTTAATGACATTTTGGAGCTCTTTGGCAGAGTCGGATGCATAACTAATACTTGTATCATCTGCGAACATTCTTGCAGTTGTATGATCAAGACAGTTCGGTAAATCATTAATGTAGATGAGGAATAGCAACGGCCCTAGGCTGCTACCTTGAGGTACACCACAGGCCACTGGCACAGAATCTGACAGTTGACCGTTTACCCGGCACTTTTGAGTTTTATCAGTGAGGTATGAATGAAACCAAGTAAGACTGTTTTCGTCACTACCATAATTTCTAAGCTTTTGTAGGATAATTTGATGATCGATCGTATCAAAAGCTTTCTTTAAATCAATAAATACAACCAATATTAATGACGTCAGCAACTTTAGCGTAAGAGCCTTTAACAAAACCAGCGCATTCATTTTGAATGCGCTGTAGTCTCTTTAGTTGGTAGTCATGTACAGGACCATAAACTGTGTCACAGTAATCTAGCTTTGATATGACAAGCATTTCGATTAATTGTTTACGTAAGTTATACGGGGCCATATGCTTTAGCTTGCGCAAGACTGCCAAGACAGCACAACACGAAGACGTCAAATATTTTATATGTTCATTCCAGTTAAGTGATCAGTAAAAATGACGCCCACTAATTTGGTAGCGCCTTCGGGTTTTATTTCCTGATTAGCACAGATAAGATCTAGTTTAACTTTGTCGAGGGAATGCGTTCGTGAAATTTGAGCTGTAGAGAACAGCATCAATTTAGTTTTTTTCGGATTTAATGACAAATTTGAAAGTGAGGACCAGTGATTCAGGGAATCCAACGATTGTTGCATATTATCGATTGATTGATCGAGTTTGGCAGTTTTACAATGTTCGTACAGCGAAGTGTCCTCCGCATACTGATAACCGGTTTGAGGGATATCGTGAGGGATAGCGATATATCGTGCCAAGCAACAGTTTGCTATTTGTGTTTCGACCTGGCACCTCAAGCCATAGAACATCTAAATCACGATATAGCTGTTCAAAGTCTGTACGACGTTTGAAAGCTATATCATCACCTATGTAGGCGTCAACGCCGGCACCATTTATGTTACCTCGGTTGCGGAATACATTAGTATATCCAGGGATGTTAACATATTGAAGCAGTAACCTGTCACCTTTAAGCCAAGTTTCGCTTAAAGTACAGATGTCAAATGGGTATGTCTCAATCGTAAGACGAAAGTTGTCAAATGTTGAAGTCATACACTGAGTGTTTAAATGGGCGACTCGTAATAATTTCTGTCGAGATTCGAGTTCTGATAGATGGATATCGCTGTTCGCTGTAGACATTAAGGGACTCTTATCAATCTCGCCTATAGAGTTATCAAAATCTATAGACCGTTCAGAATGTAACCTTTTCCTCACCGCCAGGAACCTTGTCCTCACCGCCAGGAACCTTGACCTCACCGCCAGAAACCTTGTTCTCACCGCCAGGAACCTTGTCCTCACCGCCAGGAACTTTGTCCTCACCACCGCCAGTAACCTTATCCTCACCGCCGGTAACCTTGTCCTCACCGCCAGGAAACTTGTCCTCACCGCAAGGAACATTGTCCTCACCGCCAGTCATCATGCCCTCACCGCCAGTAACCTTGTCCTCACAACCAGGAACCTTGTCCTGACCGCAAGCAACCTTGTCCTCACCGGCAGGAACCTTGTCCTCACCGCCAGGAACCTTGCCTCAGCGCCAGCAACCTTGCCGTCACCGCCAGTAACCTTATCGTCACCGCCGGTAACCTAGTCCTCACCGCCAGGAACCTTGTCCTCACCGCCAGGAACAATGTGCTCACCACCAGCAACCTTGTCCTCTCAGTAAGGAACCTTGCCTCACCGCCTGGAACATTGTCCTTTCCGCCAGGAACCTTGTCCTCAGCGCCATGAACCTTGTCCTCACCACCAGGTAGCTTTTCATTACCACAAGGAATCTACAATCTTGGCGAAAAGTTCGTAGAACGACAAAACAAACTCGCAACTTTTTAATATGCTTGGGATTTAAAATCACTTTGCACCTCCCCCGCTCCTACCATTCAATGTTGCTCTCCCACATTTCTAGTAGACGTACAATTTTGTTGTACTGTAGGTCAGATCATACAAATACACGAAACGGCAACACTGAATGGAGGAAAAGGGGGAGGCCTTATTAAAAATGAATAAAACTGATTTATCATCGTCCTACGGTTGGCTAAGATTGTGGGTTCATGGTACTGAGGACAAGGTTCCTGGCCGAGAGGACAAGGATCCTGGCAATGAGGACATGGTTCCTGGCGGTGAGGACAAGGTTCCTGGCGGGGAGGACAAGGTTCCTGGGGGTGAGGACAAAGTTCCTGGCGGTGAGGACAAGGATCCTGGCGGAGAGGACAAAGTTACTGGCGGTGAGGACAAGGTTTCTGGCGGTAAGGACAATATTCTTGGCGGTGAGGACAAGGTTCCTGGCGCTGTGGACAAGGTACTTTCGGTGAGGACAAGGCTCCTGGCGGTGAGGACAAGGTTCCTGGCTGTGAGGACAAGGTTTCTGGCTGTGAGGACAATGTTTCTGGCGGTAAGGACAAGGTTCCTGGCGGTGAGGAGAAGGTCAAAGGCGGCGAGCACAAGGTTCCTGGCGGTGAGGGCAAGATTACTGGAGGTGAGGACAAGGTTCCTGGCTGTGAAGAAAGGTTCCTGGCGATGAGGACAAGGTTCCTTGTGGTGAGGACAAGGTTGCTGGCTGTGAGGACAAGGTTAGTGGCGGTGAGGACAAGGTTCCTGGCGGTGAGGACAAGGTTCCTGGCGGTGAGGGAAAGGTTCCTGGCGGTGAGGACAAGGTCTCTGGCGGTGAAGGCAAGTTTCCTGCTGGTGAGGACAAGATTACTGGAGGTCAGGACAAGGTTCCTGGCGGTGAGGACAAGGTTCCTGGCGGTGAGGACAAGGTTCTTGGCGGTGAGAACAAGATTCCTGGCGGTGACGACAAGGTTGCAGGCGGTGAGGGCAAGGTCCCTGGCGGTGAAGGCGAGTTTCCCGCCGTTGAGGACAAGATTACTGGAGGTGAGGACAAGGTTCCTGGCGGTGAGGACAAGGTTCCTGCGGGTCAGGACAAGGTTCCTGGCTGTGAGGACAAGGTTCCTGGCGGTGAGGACAAAGTTCCCGGCGGTGAACACAATGTCCCGGGCGGTGAGGGCAAGGTTCCTGGCGGTGAGGACAGGATTACTGGAGATGAGGACAAGGTTCCTAGCGGTGAGGACAAGGTTCCTGGCCGTGAGGACAAGGTTCGTGGTGAGGACAAGGTTACTGGCGGTGAGGACAGGATTACTGGGGGTGAGGACAAGGTTCCTGGCGGTGAGGACAAGGTTCCTTGGCCCTTCTTGGTGGAGAGGACAAGGGTCCTGGTGGTGAGCACAATGTTCCTGGCGGTGAGGACAAGATTCCTGGCGCTCAGGACAAGGTTACTGGTGGTGACGACAAGAGTCATGGTGATCAGAACAAGGTTCCTGGGGATGACGACAGGGTTCCTGGTGGTGTGGTCAAGCTTCCTGGTGGTGTACACAAGGTTCCTGGTGGTGAGGACAAGGTTCCTGGCGGTAAGGACAAGGTCTCTGGCGGTGAGGACAAGGTTCCTGGTGGCGAGGGAAGGGTCTTGGTGGTGAGGAGGTTCCTGCAGGTGAGGAGAACGTTCCTGGCGGGGACGACAAGGTTCCTGGCGGTGACGACAAGGTTCTTGGCGCTCAGGACAAGGTTACTGGCGGTGAGAACAAGGTTACTGGCGGTGAGCACAAGGTTCCTGGCGGTGAGGGCAATGTTTCTGGCAGTGTGGACAAGGTTACATACGGTGAGGACAAGGATCCTGGCGCTGAGGGCAATGATTCTGGCGCTGAGGGCAAGGCTCCTGGCGGTGAGGACAAGGCTCCTGGCGGTGAGTATAAGGTTCCTGGCGGTGAGGACAAAGTTTCTGGTTGTGAGGACAATGTTTCTAGCGGTGAGGAGAAGGTTCCTGGCGGTGAGGACAAGGTTCCTGCCAGTGAGGACCAGGTTACTGACGGTGAGAACAAGGTTCCTGGCGTGGAGGACAATGTTCCTGGGTTCCTGGCGGTGAGGACAAGGTTCCTGGCGGTGAGGACAAGGTTGCTGGAGGTGAAGAGAAGATTCCTGGGTGAGAGGAGAAGGTTCCTGGCGGTGAGAACAAGTTTCCTGGGGGTGAGGACTAGGTCCCTGTTTTTGGGCTCAAGGATCCCGGTGGCGAGGACAAGCTTCTTGCGGTGAGGACATGGCTCCTGGCGGTAAGAACAAGGTTCCTGGCGATGAGAACAAGGTTTCTGGTTGTTAGGGCAATGTTTCTGGCTGTGAGGGCAAAGTTCGTCGCGGTAAGGACAAGGTTTCTGGCGGTGAGGACAAGGTTCCTGGCGGTGAGGACAAGGCTCCTGGTGGTGAGGACAAGGGTCTGGTGGTGAGGACAATGTTTCTGGCGGTGACGAAAAGGTTTGTGGCCGTGACGACAAAGTTCCTGGCGGTGAGGACAAGGTTACTGGCGGTGAAGACAAGGTTCCTGGCGCTAAGGACAAGGTTCCTGGGGGAAGGGACAAGGTTCCTGGCGGTGAGGACAAGGTTCCTGACGGTGAGGACAAGGTTACTGGCAACCTCGTTCCCAGGGCTTTCCCTTTTTGTCATTGGGAAGGCGGGAAAAGGCCCTGGCACCGGCCGGTCTTCTATGTATTCTGATTGGTCAATGACATGCACATTATTTTGCAAATAATGCAATGTCGCATTAATTTATTCAAACTTTGAGATAAATTAACATTTTCACGCAAGGTGTGTCCATTATTACTTTTGGCAAAATCTGTGCCAAAATGGTTAAATTCGAAAAGATTTATACACAATTTGTCGAAAGTTAGTATTTTTGTTTGTTTTAAACTGTGAGAGAAGGTTAATTGTGTACTAGAACACACCTCTGAGGCTCTGACCGAGTATTTAGGGCAAAATTATGTGCTTTCATTGGCCTCGTATAGCGTTTAATAATGTTTATATTTATAAAACTAAAGTCTGGGTTTATAAACTGAAACATGACCTTTAGTTTTTGATATTCTTCATAGTCGAGTTTAAATTGGCCTAATTTATAGTTAGTTACCACTAGAAATGCGACGATATTTTGTTACATGCAACAGTGTTTACAACTTTTGAATAATATGTGATTTGGTTTTATTTCAGATACTATTATTACATGTTGCTTCATTTTACCATAAATTGTGTTAAAAAAGTGATTTGCTCATTTGGCTGATGTTACAGTTTTCTGATGTGTTTTGTTTTGATGATATCAGAACAATTTCAATATGAAAGTGCAGTATATATATATATATCATAATGTATATATATCAAAATACTGATAAAATCTGTTTCCAGCTTGATTGTATTTGCATTGTTGCAGACAAAGTTGTGCAATGGCATGGTGGGCTTATGTTACATACTCGTATGTAATTCCATGTGCATGCATGTACTTTGATGCCTCAAGAGATGCTTTGAATGTGTAATAAAGGGCTGTTCGTAGGAGTTGGGCTGTCTGGCCTTAAATTGTGCACATTGTTTTTATGATATTTTAAGATTGTATTCATATCGCTGGACCATCTTGCCATTGCCACAATGTCTGATGTTCAAACAGGCTTTAAAATCAGGTTACAATGCATGCTTGAAAATATGCAACAATTTCACTGCTAATAATATTCCAGAAAATCCTGCCTCTTGGGCAGATCTGGGACTGATTTATTTGTCAGAGGGGGTGGAGGTTTACTACTTGTGATCGGGCAAGGGGAGCTAGCCAACTCATGTGAACAGCTTCTAAGTCCTAATTATATTGATAATTATGCACACTTTGGGATGGTAATGCAATTTGTAAAATATTCCACATTTTATTTAATAAAATTTAATTATATACATTGTTTTGTTGTTTATATTAACATCTTGGACAGTGTATATTTACACCTGTGGACCCTGCAAATAAACTCCTTTGGAGGGTGTACCCATTCTAAGCCAAACATGTTTAAGAAACGATTATCAAGGAATTTGCAGGATAAAATATATTTAAAACTGCTCTCTATATACATGTAATGCATGGTTCAATTCTTGCTTTTACCAATTAAACCCAGGGATTTTCGATGTCCCCTCCTCCCGTAGAATTCACTTGAAGTGACTGGGGCAAGGTAGCTATAAGTATAAGTAGGTATATAAAAGTCAATTAAAATTTACAAATAGAGCTTTTTGAATATAGACCATTGCAAAAGTATTTTTTAATTTGTTTAAATTAACCCTTTATAGTGGCCATGTGCCCTACTTTAGTATATTACTCCATCTGGTGCCAGACAATTTTACTCAAGGGCGGAATGTAGATTTGCCACAAGTCGACCTTGAATGAAATGTCGGCTCACGCTCGGCTCGCTGCTTGCCTTTCGTTCGAGAATCGAGGTGGACTTGTGGCAAGTCTAGGCAGAATGCTGCCACTTGAGTTAATATATTCTCAGAACAGTTACCATCAAATTAAATCTATTTTGCTGGCAAAATTGCCTTGGAGGAGTCCTTGATTTGTTGAGTCTTTTTTTTTGGGGGGGGGAGTTAGTGTTGTAAAAAACAGAATAGCAACTGGTTTCAGAATAGGAAGAATTGTTGTAATAGAGGTAATATAATTCTAAGACATATCATCCAAAGGAAGCAATCATTCTAGCTCTTATAGTGTATGTTGCAACAGGGATGAATTTAATTTACTGGGGGGTGGGGGCTATTTTTCATGATAAAGCAAAACATTATTAGAGGCAAAATGAGATACAGTAATTTGAGTAATAACATAAGCGAGCTGTGAACAATTCAAATTCAAATACAGTAGTCAAGCAAGATGTGGGCGGGCGGCACACATGACCGACACAACTCGGCATCAGAGCTGGCAGAGCATCCCCCACCAGATCATGCTGGATCCATCCCTGTGTTGCAAAATGTATTTCCTTCATAGTCAGGCATTC